CTCTTCCGAGAATGGAGCCCTGCCTTGTGGGGCTGTGAGAGAGCCTGGGAGGGGCTCAGCATCCTTGGGGTTCACTCCGCCCCGCCCTGGAGTCTGGGGTGTCCCTGCCTTTTCAGCACCTGCTGGCGCCGGGCGTTCCATCACTCACGGTGCACGTTCTGATCTTGAGATGGCGTTCGAGGCGTCCAGGAAGAAGGAAGAGCTGCCTCTTGGAACTGCGGCCTGCCTGGGGGAGGGAGGGGGGAGATGAGAGGCTGTGTCCCGGGATCTGGGACAGCTGTGGACTCCCGTCATGGGCGTGCCCAAGCCAAGGGGTCCTGGGCGTACACATGCACGAACACCTGTGCCCTGGGACCCACAGGGCCGTCTGCACGCCCTGGGCAGCTCACATGCACCCGACAGAGGGTCGGGGGTGGAGCTCACGGCTCCTGCTCACCAACATGGCCCGAAGCTCCATGCTGCTGGGGAGCTCCAGACGGCCGCCGAAGCGCGAGGTTTTCTGCAGGTTCTGCTCGCAGGCCTTGGCGATCCCTGCAGAGGCAGGCAGGCAGGCAGTGGGAGAGGGGCTGGCGTCGCTGTGCCTGGCTCCGAGCCCGCTCCACTCTCCCACAGCCCGTGTTGGCAGCTGAAGAAACGGAGTCCGGAGAGGCGAGTCATTTGCCCAAGGTCAAGAGCTGGAGCTTAGGAACTGGATTTGAACTCACATCCCATGAGGGCCAGCCTTTGCTCCTGCCACTCAGTCCACCTGGGAATCCCTCCTATGTGCTCACTAACCTAGGCCAGTACCTCCTCCGGGAAGCCTTCCCTGAGCACTCCCACCAGAAGATCAGACAACTTATGGTGCCAGCCCTGCGGGACTCCGCAAATGTCTGGGGAGTCAATTGACTGTGGTAGATACCCCCATGCCCTGTGAAGGCTGCCACCCAGGCCCCAGGTCCCCACTGGCTGACCCCTCACCCTGGAACGGCAGGCCCGGGGTCCGGCTCACGTCCTGGAGGAAGCGGGTGAGGTGTGGGCGGAGGACCTCGGAGCAGCTGTGGTAGGCGGCCACGATGTATAGCAGCCTCCAGCCTCGCTGGCAGCTGTCCCTGCAAGGACATGTGCGTGGGGCCCCATCCCAGCTGGCCATGGCACTGGAGGGGATGCCAGGAGCCCCCTGGGAGTGGGCACAGGCTCCAGCTCTCAGCGGCTCCTGTGCCCTGGAGACGCCCCCCTGCCCCGTGAAGGAGACATTGTATGCTGCGTGGAAAGCCAGCATGGGAGGTGTGGAAGGAAGGCGAGGAGCCTGGCATCTTCCCGGGCAGGGGCATCTGGGCAGCATTCTGGGCAAGGGGCAACACGCCCAGGCTGTGCAGAGGTGAGGGCTGGGGGTGGGGGAGCAGAGGGGAGTGCTGAGTGGTTCCAAAGTTCCTGGGCAGATGGAGAGCAGGTCGGGGTGGTGCCCAGATGGGGGTGGGGTGGGGGCAGTGAGACTAAGGCAGTGGAGCAGCACACGTGGGGCACCCGTCTGTGCTGGCCTGTGGGAGGGAGGCAGTCCTTGTCTCGTACCACCCTGCGTGAAGATTTCATTGCGGGGACTCGAGTCTGGGGACAGGACTTAGGCTTCCTTTAGGAAACCATGCACCCCTCCAGGCTGCCATGGTTGGCAGGTGGGCATGGGAGTAAGGTCTGGTCAATTAGAATACTGCACCCCCTGGCTGTAGTGATTGGCTTAGGCATGGGCATATGATCCAAGGCTGGCCAATAGGAATTCAGCCTCCCTCTGGCTGAGGGCGGGGCTTAGTTTGGGAACATGTGACTCAGGTCTAGCCAATCAAATACTCTGCATTGGGGCCAGCAGTTGGCGTAATGGCTATGTCACTGGACTTCATGTAGTCAACTGTGGTTCCAGTCCATGTGCATGCATGCCCAAGAGTCTGAGAGCAGAATGGAGGAGAAGGGATTGTGATATGGCCAATCCCCCTGGGGGGTGATTTCTTGTTCTCTGTCTCTTTCTGTCTTTCTGGCGAGCGCGTGCGCCCTATAGCAAAAACCTCTCCAAAGAAACAAAAACCAAAACCAATACTCTGCATCCTCCAGCTATTGTGGTTGGTTCAGTGATGAGCATGTGACCAGGTCTGGCCAATAACACTGAAGTTGGGGTTTTGTAGCAAATATCTTGCTTTCCCCAGGACTGCTGAGCTGGGAAAAGTCTCCCAGAGCAGCGTCTTTGCCAATCTGTGGGAAAGGCTGCTTACTTAAGACATCAACACAGAAGAACATAGGGCCAGAGAGGGAAAAACCATTTCCTGATAACACCTGGACCCAGCAATGCCTGAAGCCACATTCTTGTTGGCTTTTCAGTCACCTGGACCAGGAAGTTTCCTTTTTTGCTTAAAACAGCTCGAGCCAGGGTTTTACCACTTGCAACCGAGACTCCGGACATACACATTATTGTTGGCATCGCAGACAAGGGTATCGCACCCGAGGCGGCAGAAATGGCAGCCCCAGACAGAGCAACCGCAAAACGTGTGCTCTCTGTTGAGGGAGGGGACGGTTAAGAGGAGAGGACTGGGAGACAGGCCTGGGAGGCGGGAGGCTGACCTGGACGCCCTCAGAGCATGGCTGCATCGAGGGTGGGGTGGACAGGCCTGGGAGGCGGGAGGCTGACCTGGACGCCCTCAGAGCATGGCTGCATCGAGGGTGGGGTGGACAGGCCTGGGAGGCGGGAGGCTGACCTGGAAACTCTCAGAGCAGGGATGCATCGGGGGTGGGGTGGACAGGTCTGGGAGGTGGGAGGCTGACCTGGAAACCCTCAGAGCAGGGATGCAGTGGGGGTGGAGTGGACAGGTCTGGGGAGGCGGGAGGCTGACCTGCTCCCCCCAGTATAGATCAGTGGGGTGGGGAGGCTCAGGCCCAGGAGGCGGGAGGCTGACCTAACCCCAGTATAGACTCAGTGGGGGTGAGGGTGGACAGACCAAGGAGGCAGGAGGCTGACCTGTCCACCACAGTGTAGACATAGTGGGTGAAGGAGCTCAGGCCCAGGAGGCAGGAGGTTGACCTCCACTTCCCTACCAGTGTAGATGCAAGGACTGTCCCTGCAAGGACACGTGCGTGGGGCCCCATCTCAGCTGGCCATGGCACTGGAGGGGACGGGGCGGGGAGCGCAGGCCCAGCGCCTCACTCACTGCTTGGAGCTGGTGTTGTCCGTGACCTGCTTCACAACCTGGCAGTAGCACTCGTCCCGCATGACCTCGTGGTCCCCGCACAGCTGCAGGAGGGCAGGCCAGGTGACACACCAGGCACAGAACTAGTTGGGCACCCGCCCTCCTGCCTCCCCACCAGCAGGATGCCGGGCCACAGGAGAAGCCCCCCTCGTGTGCTGAACCCTCAGTGACGGGGAAACTGAGCTCCCAAGTGGGAAGGGGGCACCCAGCAGGGTGGGCGACTGACCTTCAGGATGGTGTGCAGCACATCCAGTTCACTCTGGCCCTTCAGCGGGGCGTCCCCCATGAACCTCATCACAGCTGTAGGAAACACCTACCTGCCCAGCCACCCCACCCCCTCGCTGGCCTCCCACCCCGGAGACCCCAGGGTCAAGCTCCCCAGGGGCTGTGGCCACAGGCAGCTGGGGCCTCCTGTTCTCTCCAAGGTGCCCTACGTCTGAGCAACGGAGGGCAGCAGGGGTCACCGGGGTGCTGGCTGCAGCCTCCACACCTAGGAACATGTCGGTGGCCATCTTGTTGAGGCTGCCGTCACTGAGTTCGATGAGGGACTCCTGGAGCGGGGTCTGCGAGGGAGGAGGGGCCAGGTCACGATGGAGGAGAAGCGTCAGGACCGAAGAGGGCTCGGTTTCCAGGAGAACCACACATAGAAGGGCAGCCGGCCTGACAGTGGGGACAGGTGCTCTGGGGGAAGCCGGGTCCTGCAGGGGCAGAGAACTGGAGGGTCTCACTGAGGACAAGCTCGGCCCCAGGGTCTAGGAGGGGCTCTTGCACCGTCATTGTGATGAGGTGCTGAGTCTGCACCTTGCTGAAGCAAAGCATGTCTTCCAGCGTCCTGGACTCCCCGCCCTCCCTGGACTTCAGCCTGGGGCCGTCCCTGCAACAGGTGGAGGGCGCTGCTGAGTCGGCCTGCTCCCACCCATGGGCCGCATCCCCTCCCACACGGGGATGTCCTGGGGCCACATCTGGACAGCCAACCAGGCAGAAGGCCCCCCAGAGGCCGACTGGGGCGCTCCATCCCACCCACAGCTGCAGCTCAGACCACCGCCAGCATCCGTGTGGGGAAGGGGCGGGCCTCCACTCACTGGGGTCTCCTCTGAGGGTCGCGGAAATACTTCTGGGCGAACTCGAGCATCGTGTTCGGCGGTGGCGTCAGGGGGTCCTCCGAACGGTCAGCAGAGCGGGCCCTGACTAGAGGACCCTGCGGGAGAACAGAGCTGGGAAGGACCTGTCCAGCCACGGCCCACCCAGTGCCCTGGGAAAGCTGACTCAGGAAACCCCTCTCAAACTGGGCCTCGCCCCTGTCTGCTCACACCCACCACTTGCTGACATGACTCCGCCCCCTGCCCAGTGGCCACGCCCACCACCATTGCCCACCCTAGGTTGGTTCCCCCTACTGCCTGTCACCCTGACCCCACCCCGCCGCGGCCCCCCCCCCCCCCCATTCCCCCCCCTAGGTTGGTTCCCCCTCCTGCCTGTCCCCCGCCCCCCCCCCCGCCGCATCCAGGGTCGACTTCACCTACAGGGCGGCCCAGAGGGTCTGGCTCCTGGTTCTGGTCACTACCAGCCACGCCCACCTCTCATCGGGCCACATCCCACGTGGCAGCTCTGGCTCACCCTGTTTCAAGCCTGGGCTCGACCCTAGTCCCCGTTGGCCTCCGCAGTCCAGCTGACCCCCAGCCCCTTGCTGTCTCCACCGCAGGTCTCACCTCTCTCCTGCGGCCCACCTCCCGCGCAGCGGCTGTCGAGGCCACTGCAGCGGCCACAGCAGCGGCCTGGCTCCGGCCAGGCTCGGCCGGCAGCTGCAGGAAGTCGGGAGCCGCAGCCGGCTGCACCAGCTCTGAAGGGAAGCAGCCCACGCGCCCATGGACAGTCCCGAACCTCCAGCCTAGGGCAGGAAGGGGTCAGAGGCAGATGGTCTCGTCTTGGGACTAAGCGGGTGTTTCAGGGGTACTCCCGTGCCTCCTTGACCCAGAGGTCTGTGGGGGCGGCCATGCCATGGAGCCCCTTTTACAGATGAGGAAACAGAGGCTCAGCAGGCAGATTCCCTCAGGCCACCAGAACTACTATGGGGGGTGAGGCAGAAAGACAGCGGGAACGGGGTCTCTCAGGGCATGCAGAGACACTGAGAGACGGGTCACAGACCCCTCGGTCCCTATGCAGGCCAGGGCTGGACTGTACCCAGCTAGTAGGCCCAGGCAGGGGCCTTGGGAGACCTGGCTAGGCTAGACACCTCGGGGCACGAAGAACCCTCACTGCATCTGTGGGGAGGGATGCGCCGAGGGGTCCGGGGTCCAGGGTCCGGGGGTCCCAGCACACACCAAAGTCCGGGCCTCTGCGCCGCAGCTCCTCCAGGTACACGACCTTCTTGCGAACCACGCAGCCGGCGCTGTAGCCTGCGGGCCAGGGTGTCAGCACCTGCCAGGAAGTCCCCCTGCTGCTGCCCCTCCGTGCCACCCACCCGTGACACTGACCCGCGCGGGGCGGCTCCAGGGGCTGCAGGTGGATGATGTCGCCCTTGTGGAAGGCCAGCAGTGCCGGGTCCTCAGGCAGGAAGTTCCTCACGGCCACCACATAGTCAGAGTCCTGGGGCAACCGGGGCCAGGCAGGGGGGCTGCACGCCAGGGCTGCCACTAGCAGCCAAGGACCACTCCCTGCCCCACCGCCCCATCACCCACCATCAGGGTGGCGAGCACTCCCTGGTGAGAGTGGAGGGCATCCCAGGCCGGGGGTGGGCACCGGGACGCACCGTGCTGGCCCACCTGGCCTGGACACGACCTGTGTCGTCTAGGCCTGGGGGTCGGGGGAGGGCAGAGGCAGTGCAGTGGGCGAGCAATGCAGCCCCTGTGGGAGGGTGAGGCAGGTGCTGCCGGGAGCTCAGAGCACGCTGAGCACCAGTGCTCCAAAGGGGCAGGCGAGGGGCAAAGGGCAGTCCAGGGAAGGCATGGCCCGTGCCGAGGCCGGAAGACACCTGGGTCCACGGTCACCGTCACTGGCACACGCGGGACATTCACATGGCCCCGAGGGCATGGTAGGGTCGTGGGCCCTGGCACCCCGTCAGCAGGGGGCCTTCGGGGAGGATCCTGACCTTCTTCAGTTCCAGGATGAAGTCGTCCACCAGGGCCTTGACCTGGGGAGCTCGGGCGGAGAAGAGGATGACCTTCTCGCTGGCCAGGTTGAACTCTAGCATGTTCTGGGAGGGCGTGGTCACAAACAGGATGTCTGCAAAGCTGGGAGGTGGCAGGGGCATGAGAGCAGGGCTGATGGCTGGAGGGGCCCCACCTGCTGCTCCAGCCTTTGCTGTTCCTGGAGCTCCCGCCACCACACCAGCCCCGGGAACCCGAGGGCCTCCCTGCCTCCCCGTCCCCTACCCTTGGAACACCCCAGCCACTCCCCACCTCCCACCCCTTGCTCTAACTGTCCAGGTCGGTCCATACGAATCTCTTTCACCCATTGACCAAATTCTCTCCTTCTTTTTTCAAAAACAATTATTTTATTTATTATTATTTAAAAAATTTGACCCAAGACAGAGAGGGAAAATGAGAAAGCAAGTCATCAAGTTGGGGATTCGAACTGCGGTTGGCCAGTGGGAGCCCAGCACCTTAGCCACCATGTTACCTGCTGGTCCCTTCTCTTCCTCATTTATTTATTTATTTATTTATTTATTTATTTTTGAGACGTTTTTGCTATAGGGCGCGTGCGCTCGCCAGAGAGATAGAGAGACAGAAAGCAAGAAATCATCCCCCAGGGGAGATGGTCATGTCACAATCCCTTCTCCTCCATTCTCCTCTCGGGATCTTGGGCACGCACGCACACGCGCCCGGTGTGAGTTTTAAGCCACTGGGTCCAGGACACGAACTGCGGTCGACTACGTGGGAGTCCAGCGACATAGCCATTACGCTCACTGCTGGTCCCTCTTCCTCTTTTAAAGCAAGGAACTTTGGGGACCAGTAGATAGTGTAGTGGTTATGTCTCTGGACTCCCATGTAGCCAACTACGGTTCAAGTCCTGGACCCAGCAACTTAAAACTTATGCCAGAGAAGGGATTGTGGCATAGCTAAGCCCCGAGGGGGTGACTTCTTGCTGTCTGTCTCTCCAGTGAGCACACAAGCCCTATAGCAAGGGGCTTCCACCCGATCGGTGAGCGAGGCTCTATTCCATACGTGCTTACAAAGGACAGGTGGGTTAGAGGGCCATTCAGGGCTCTGTGAGGTCCCCGTAGAGCACCCCCTCCCCGGCTTCATCAGGACTGGGGTGTTGATGACACAGAGCCCCATGGCCAGTGAGCTGCCGGGGCAGGGCTGAGTGTCCGGGAAGCAGGACTGCTTCCTGGGTGACTGGGCCAGGCAGCGCTTCCCTCAGCCTCACTCCCCCATCTCTAAAATGGGCTTGCTGAAGGGCTGGCACGTCACAGGTGCTGGATAACTGGCTGGTGTGGAGTGCCGCTGAAGGCGCCTCGTGCCCCGGGCTCCGGCCAGTCACCTGTAGGCACGCAGCACGCGCAGCTGCCCACCGGCCTCGTGGCTGCCCCTGGCCAGCCGCAGGAGTCTGATGCCCCTGTGGGACACGGCCAGGATCTGCACGCCAGTGCCCACGCTGCCCTGCACGGGGATGAGAGCATGTGAGCATCTTCCCGCCTCAGCCCTGCATCCCCGGCGGGCAGGGCAGGGCAGGCGGGGGCTCGCACCGTGGCTGGGAAGAGGCGGGAGAAGTAGAGCTCCCAGCTGTCCCGCGCGGTGCTCACCACGGCCCGCTTAATGCTCTCCGTTACCAGGGGCCGCTGCGTGTCCAGCTGGTTCTGGGCTGAGGGAGGCCAGGTTGGGTCAGGACCTCTCCCCGTTCCCCTGCCAGCCCGCATCTCAGGGAGGTCGGGGAGGGAGGCAGGCCCCCAGCAAGGAGGTGTCTGACCAGCATCTATACTGGGGAGCTGAAACCCGGAAAGGAACGGGCTGTGGAGTCCCACAGTGTCAGACGCAGCCGGGCCAGGTGAGGGGCCAGAGGAGAGGCAGGAGGGCGTGTGTGGGGACACAGGGGCTCAGGCTCCTTCTGGGAGTGGCTGGCGTCCCATGGACAGCCCTCCCCACCCCCGCGCTACCAAACAGGGCCTTCATCCTGAGCCTCTCGTCCTGGGAGATGCGCAGGCAGGCCTCGGAGAGCGTGTCGTGCAGGATCTGCGGGAGCGGGCTGTGCTGTGGACGGCCGTGGGGCCGTATGGAGACAGCCCCTGCTCAGCGGGTCCCTGTGCAGAGACAGCCTTTCCCCCCTCCCGGCCTGTCTCCTAATCTACACGGGGGGTGTGGACTTGACCTCTGGGCCCGCCCAGGGCAGTGGGCGATACAGGACAGCACCCAAACTCGCCCTCACCCCAGAGCAGACAGCCGGAGGGGTGCCCACCGAGGCAGAGGGGGACGCCCTCACCTGCCGGAACAGGAGGTCCAGCTGCACAGGGTGGCTGTAGCTGTCCTTGGGGTAAAACACCTGTGGGGCGGGGCTGGAGTGGCACCTCCGGGCTGCCCCTCACCTTGCGTCTCCCCTGGCCCACCCCCTAGATACAGCCCCTCGGGACCAGCCCTGGCCCATCCCCTCACCTCCCGCCCCCAGCCCAGTCAGGCCTCCCCACATCTGCCCA